AAAATAACGTATTTCTTTTATGCTATTTTTTAATTATTAAAAAAAACGTTTGACTTGGTAATTAAAAGGTAGGAAATAGGAGGAAAGAAAAACAAGTTTGAAGTTAAATTATTAGATAATTACTACAAAAATAAAATGAAAAAGAATTTATAATATTTTATAAGAAAAAAACATAACAACCACTTGGATCAATTATGAATTTAAATTTCACCACATAACATGCCCAAAAAGGAGGATATAAAAGTCATATGCTTCACATCCATATCACTCATTTTTCATTAAATTAATTGATTATATCTTTTTGGAAAGGAAAAAAAAAGCCCTTTTCTTCTTGCATTTCCTTTCTAACACTTGTCATTCCCATTTGATATCCAATTTTTTTATTATTATTTTAATTATTCAAAACTCAACTCATTAGTTTCTTTTTTTTTTCCACAAACATTTTTGAGTATAAATAAGAGGAATAGCAATGGGCCATTTTTTTTTACCACATTTCTACTTTCAATAAATGAAATTAGAATGATGTTTGATAACTGTATATGGTTTATTGTTTCTTGTTCTTACAAACATGTTTTAGTAATTATATTTTTTTATTGGTCATGGTCTAAAATTTTAAATTAAAATAATTTACTTTTATATGAAATTTATTTTTTTAAAAAAATTAAATATTCAAACTTTTATGTTATATATGTGTTTTAATATTTATTATACATTTTATAAGTAAAAAATGGTAAAATAATACTTTTATGTTTTGGAACGAGGACAAGAAACAAAATACTTGATTTTGTTATTTCCAAAATTTCTACACAATTTTACAAATGTTTTTTAAAAATGAGAAACTAGAGAAAAATAAACCGTTATCAAATAGTTATGTTTCTAAAAAAGTGGAATGAAAAACGTACGGTGAGAAGAGAATGTTACCAAACACGTCCTAAACAATAGAAATGTGTTAACACGACATGTTCGTTAGGTACTGTTATTAACATCATTGATTAATTGATTAAATGAGTATAATTTAAAGTTGAAGGAGATCTTTCAAAAATTTTAAAATTTAAGAACTAAAATAGATGGTTTAAAATTTTAGGGATTAAATTTATAACTTTTAAATGATTAAAACCTTTATTCTTTTGGTCATAGTGCGAAATTCTATTTCTTCCCCCTTAAGAGATACAAAGGGTAATTTAACTCTAAGTAATGGTTACATATTAACTTGATAAATATTTAATTATCTAAATTAAGAAGTAAAGTTGAAAAATGAAGTTAAGTTGTCAAAAACGAGTATAACTCAACGATAATTGACATATATCTCCAATTAATGAGTTCAATCCTCAACCCGCATATTATATTAAAGAAAAAAGAATCTAAGTTGAAATTTCTAACTCTAATATTTKCAAACTAACAGTTTATTAATGAATTTTATAATGGATTATTTGACTCAATTTAATTGATTATCTTGTCAACTATTTCTAAATAATCTTTTTTTTTTCCTCAAATTTATTCAATAACTCTTTTAAGAAGATGAGAACCCATTATTATCTTAATATTTTTAATGCAAATATTTTATTAGAAAAATATACACATTTGAAGAAATAAAATGATCATGTTTTTTTTTGTAGTTTTTTTTTTAATTCTTAGAAGATAAAACTAACTGTTTGTTTTCGTTACTACTATCCAAAAATCTTTTTGGATTAAAAAAAAAAACTTAAATAAAATAAAATAAAAAATAGGAAATAAAATAAAAATCTGTCTAAAATCTACTTTTTAAGCCTGGTTAAAAAATAATTATATCTTTCGACTTTTAAAAATTAATCTTGTTAACTAATGATTTATTCATCTTCTAAAAAAATTTAAAAATATTTTCAAGATCTCAATAAGGGTAGTTACCAAAATTATGTTCTATTTATTTATTTTATTTTATTTTTAGGAAAACGTTCTATTTTTTTTTTTAAATTGTGTTATCCAAAAGGTAAAAACAATTGTTACTGAACAAACCTAATTCCTAATGGCAAAGAATGAAAAGCTTATTAGTTATTTTTTTTTAGAAAAACCTTATTTTCTTAAAAACTAAAAAATTATAAATAAAACAAAGTTTAAATACTATTTTTTTTGATCTATGAGCTCTCAAAATTTGTCCCTGTACTTCTAACTTTTGCTCGTGTTAGTCCCTGTACTTTCAGAACATTGCTCTCGTATTTTTACTTCTAAGAAGTGATTATAAATCTTTAACACAAATTTTATACCTAATAAAAACCTTTTAATACAAAATTATAACTACATTTAAAAAGATTTGGGAGTGAAATATCATATTAAAATTTTGATCAATGAAGGGACCAAAATTGTCACGTATAGAGACTAAAATAATCGAATTCGATCAGATGAGATCGAATTCAACACGTCTAATTATATTCTTTCCCCTCAACATTATACCAAAAATACACTTATATGTACTTTTTGTACTGGAAAATGTTTCTCCCTCTCTCAATAAATATTATTCTAAAACTGAAATACCTTTAAATATAATTAAGGAATAACCTATATTATCTCTGTTGTGGAGTCTAATCTCACCACCATGTGCCCACTAAACTTTCCTCTCTCTCTCAATTATTTATATAATATATAAAATTATTATTTTAATAAATAAAAATTATAAACACATTTCTACTGAGTTATTTTGTACTCAAATCAATGTTTGCTCATTTATTTCAATTTGTCCCAAAAAGAAAAAAAAAAACTATGTGAATTCTCCATTAAAAGAGATTTTACTAGAGAGAAAATGATGCTAGTACGTGGGAATTGATGCTAAATATAAGTATAGTACAGAGAAATGAAGACAATTTCCATAACCCAATGCTCTTTATAATTAGTGGTGTTAGAATAACTAAGGCAATAATAATCATGATAATAATGTAAAAAAGAACTTTTTTTTAACCAAAAAAAGACCCATTATTTAAAAAAAACATTTTTTAATTTTTATTATTTATTTAGTTTTTATTTTTTAAAGATGAAGCCAAAAACAAGAGTGCTAGGTTATATCTAACCAACCTAATATATGGGCTTGTTTTGGTTGTTGTTTAGCTAAAAAAATAGAACATTTGAGATCCCACCAACTTGTTTTATAGTATTAATTCCTCATTTGATTTTTTTTCTTTTGCAAAAATATTATTTGCTTTAAATTAATTTCTTAGCAATTAAGTTGGTGACTTTGCTTTTAGGTATGTACATGCCTAACCCCTTCTTGACTTCCCAATCAATTTTTTTCTTTAAAAAATGGATGGCTAGGATGCTCCCATCAACGATCGTTTAAAGCCTTTCGATGACATGTAGGACTGGTGCCTATGAATTTAAGTTGGACCCTTCAAAAAAGTTACAATGGAAAATGAAAATTTTCAGTCAGATTGCATTTCAATCCTTATGCTTCGCCATGTCTTCATTTGCATTCATCTAGATCTTTTGTTAGTTTGCGTTAAATTTTCTGTTTCACCTATATAACCTTTAAAAGATGTTTCAATTGAAAAAATTTGAATTGATTTGTAAAGTATTCATCTTGAATTCAAATTCTCTCACTTGTAAAGCTTCATTATTATTATTTTTCTTTTAGTACAGATGGAAGTGGGAGATCAAACTTACTTGGAAATATATGCCAAAATTGAGTTATGCTCGCTCTGGCCCTGTGAAGTTTTATTTACAATTTACACAAAAGTAAAAGAGGAAAATTTTCTTTAATAAATAACACAAAATAAATAATTAAAAAGTGCATCGTTTGATTTTATTGCATCTAAAATTTTATGTAGATGTAAATAGTAATGGTATATTATTGTGGTATATTATTGATTTAAATTGCATTTTGGTCCTAATCTTTATATATATATATATATATATAATCTTTAATATTTTAAGTGTTTTTATTTTGATTTATAATTAGCTTTAAAATATTTTATTTTTGTCCTTGAATTTTATTAAAATTTATATTTTAGTCATTGTCATTACTTTTTGTTTATTAATAATTTTAATAGAAATCACCTATTTTGAAAACTCAATGTCTAAACTTACCACTCGTTTGAGTAGACATCTATTTATATAAAAAAAAACATGTCACCTCAAGTTTTTGTAAGAAAATTTACGAAGAATTAATAACAAGAATAGAAAAAAAAATTTCATACAAAGTTTAGAGCCTAAAACAAAATTAAAAAAAAAACTCAATTTATTTCACACAATCATAGTTTTATCCAAAATAATAAAAATTTGATTTTCCTTATTTAAATTTATTTTTATCTTAATCTCTAAACTCTCAACATTCACAAAAATCTCAAAAAGAAAGAGGAAAAAAAAAGCATGGATAATGAAATGAGAGAGTGATATGCCCCATTGCAAACGACATGTCGTATCCCTGCATCTAAAATCAATTTATGCAAAATAAATAAATAGGAGGAAAGAAAAAAAAAAAAAAAGAACCCCTCTGTTTCCTTCTGCCAATAAAACCATATTTTTTAGCCTCCTCACAAAATTGAACAATTCCAAGCCATATTATTATTATTTTTCTTTCTTCTGTGTTGTGGGGGTGTTTTTGGCAAAAAGAAAGAAACAAGTTTTTTATTTTATTATTTTTTTTGTGGGGTTTTGAAAAATTTATCAAAGACTCCATAGAGAGATTGAAAGCTGAAAAGTCCACAGTCAAATTGGATATTTTGCAATATATTCTTCAGAAACTATACATTCTTGAGGAAAAAAAAAAGAAAAAAAAGGAAGAAAATTGATTTAACTTTACCAAGTATAA